ATCAGATAATAACGTGAAACAATAATATTGATAATTGATTGTTGTGATAATGTTATCCTGATATTAAATTAATATTAATATTATTAATTATCAACGTCCATATTAAAAACAGTTTTTGTTGTAAACTGCAAATGATTGAAATTGTTGCTTAACCATCAAATGACTTAAGTATTTATTAATTTCGTATTGTGATAGATTTCTGACCAAGCTTCTATTTACTAGGTATTTCTTTTGCACACATGTGGTGAACGCGGGTATGAAATGGTCCCGACTGTTGACTCGTCGTACCAGACATTAGTAGTGGTTTGGTATCCGAAGTATAGTTCACTTATTTTATACATTTGATACATACATGCCATCAAACACAATATGCTAATGAATAACAAATTCCTTATAAATACTAAATAACTCAATAAATCATACCATGGTAAATACTACATAATTAATTGTAGTATTGTACTGAGAATAAGTTTATTAGAATTGAACACCAATTTTAAAAACTAGACCTGCTTTGCAAAAAAATAAATACTAAATAACTCAATAAATCATACCATGGTAAATACTACATAATTAATTGTAGTATTGTACTGACAATAAGTTTATTAGAATTGAACACCAATTTAAAAAACTAGACCTGCTTTGCAAATAATTGCTATTGTTTTTCTATGTACCAGTACAATAGTAATTCTTTGTAATTATTAGATAAGTTAATTAATTCTGTAATTATAAGCATAAGTGTTAATTATTGCTAATTGTTTTGATGTTAATCATGAACTTCTGGACAAACATTTGCTTTTTCTCTGGTATTAACGGTTTGAATACATGAATAGCATTAGCGGTCAATACTAAGCAATCAAACAATAGTAAGAAGACATCGCAAAGTGGCGATGATTTCACACCATTTTAAGACCGATATGTGCTATTAGTACCAATTAGTACCAAGGTGGTGTGGTTGCAATAATAGACGCATTGCACACATTGTGCCACCAATACCACCGGTAGGACCGGGAGGTTTTCCTAACGCACAAGGTTTGTATATTTTGCATTCAATACAATGTTATACTGAAGTGATATTAAAGTGTTGTCTGACTGTCGGCCACATTATCACCGGTGAGTCCGTCTCCTGCGAGCGGACAGAGAGTCTCCAACAGCCGAAGAGTCGGAATGAGAGCTCGAGATAACAAGAATGGCGTTCAGAGACTCGGAGGAAATAATTATCTCAATCTGTGATTACAGTCGAGACAATCGAGGCTTGAGGTCATGACTCGTATGAATTTCTGAAGAGAGTCCTTTCGTACTCAACGGATAGATATTTGAATTCTTTTTATAATACATTTTATTGAATCCGTTCACTCACATAGTACTGTCGAATTGTCCCTGTACACACTTAAATGCAACTTAAATATAGATTTAAATAATAGTAATTTATATTTGATATCAGAATTTAAGATAAATATTGATAGAAATAAAGAGTTCTCTGAATTCATAAAATATTTATTTAAAAACAAATACAAATACTGTAACAAAATGTAACAAAACTTTTGCCGATCTCTCCACTCATGTCGAGTCGCATACATTTCTTATGACATCCCATACCATACGAGTCGACCGTCCGATTCGACGAGTCGCCAGACGGGACACCTCTGAGCACTGACCCACCCCTTCACCCAACCGTTGTATCACTGTATCGTTGTAAATGTAAATGTGTAATGTTTTGTAAATTATCAATCTGTTAATAACTTGGTGAGGGCGAGAAAACGATAGTACAGTATATCTTATCATAAAATTTCATAATTTTTTCAATACAATTCTTATTATATTTAATATAAAAGTGCACAACTTGTTAAGGACAGGTATGTCTTTCGTTTACAATAACTTTTCTACTGATAATCTATGTACTAATCCATATGATATTCATATTGAGTGATAACTGGCCTACAAATTGAACCATAGTTTGATCCCATAATAGATTAAATTTTTTATCACGACTTAATGACCGTTAATATTACTTATTTATAATTCAATAGTTTATAATAAAACTCACATACAATCATAAATTAATTGGAAAACCAATTCAACGCATACTTTGAAATATTTAATTAGATCCTAAATCCCTTGAATGGACCCAAACTTAGTGACTATAGACGTGTGAATCCCTGTCCACCCCTTCCATCTCTCGTGAACTGTTGGAGCCGTCCGTCGCGTCTCAGCTGAGGTGGTTGAGCATGGTCATATTTCCATGTTTCCCAATCTTAAAATCTCATTTATATAAATCTTTTATATATAAATAATTAAATAAAGATATTGTTTTATATAAGTATTTAATAATACTTTACATGGTTTTATGAAATGCATTTAAATATTATAGTTTCATAGTTATTTTAAAAATAACTTTAAAAATAATTTTATAATTACAAATAATTTTAAATGAAATTAATTTATTTACTAATGATTATTAAATAATATAGTGTTTTGTTTAGATTTTGTTTGTTACTTTGTTTAAAAAGTTTCTAAAAATTCTTAATTGTGCTTTTCATTCAAACAAGTTTATTATAAGATAAATAGTCCGAAATAAAATATAAATTAATGTTTATATTGAAATATTTACACTTAAACTAATCCAAATAAAAATATAAATAAATATCTTACAAAACAATAAATTATAATTTTACTCTAAAATTTAGTATTTATGGCTAATTATTTTGTATTGCTCTAAAATATAAAATGTAGAATATTTCTATTATACTTTTATACAATATTGAAAAGGCTTATAATTATAAACAACTTATTCTAACAAACTAAATTGCAAGTATTTGCTTTTTAAAACCAAATAAATTAATTTTTAATATTTTTAAACCTTTTATTGAATTATATTTGTTTGTAACATCATAATAAATTTAATAATAATATATTTATTTTATTTTTGATTAACCAAAAATTGTACTGTATATTATATCAGAAATGTATACTTTATATAATTGCAATTTGGAAATAATTATTAGATTATCATTATCTCGATATTACATATAATAAATACTGTATCTCACAATCCTTTTAATACTAAATCAAATACAGAATTACACCTGTACAGAAATATAGATTACACCTGTATACTAAAATATAGTATTTTGGTTAGAAAGTTATCTATTGATATGTTCATAAAAACATTGGCATTCTTACATTATGTTAACTTCTAAAAGGTTTTATATATCATAAAAATTATCTCTTAAACGAATCGAACGAACGAAATAAACATTTCTTAAAAAGTATAAAAAGTGTTAACACAATAGAAACGATTGTAGTTTTTATGAATCCATTTAATTCAATATATCACACAATTATTATATTTTTTATAATGGATTTTTATAAATTATTTAATTAATTTCAGAACAGTTATTATCACACTCTCGTATAGATTTGATTGTAAGTGGAATTACTATTTTTAATCAAAAATGTTTTTTTCAAAAATTAATTATTTTATATTGTAATTCATAACAGTTTATAAAATTGTAAAATGAGTTAAAAGACTAATTGATAATAACAATGGCGCATGATTGTGAATGTGGTATTTGTGGTATCTATACTAAATGCGGTAATTGTACATAGTATTTTCAATTGCATTTTAATATTTAAATTAATTTGTTATAACAATTCTTACCTTGCTAAATAGGTAAAAATTACGTTCCCAAAGGGAGTTGTGCCTACACATGTGAGTCTTGCAGACAATGGTTTTATAAAAATGCTGATTTAACTGTAAGTTTGTTTAATTATAATAGAAATCTATTAATATACATTTTATATAATTTAATTTAAAATAGATTTATAAATATTTATATAAACAGTATTATATGTTGAAAATGACTCAATTTGAAATGTTTTGAAATAAAATAAAATAAGATCATGATCAATTGTTTAATTTAACAGGAAGTGTGTCCTAATGGGGAGATGGATCCAAATGATCGTGAAAATTGTGACATCAATGAATGTCGGCCCTGTAAGCTACACAAATGTAATAGAATCGGAATGAGACCGGTAATTTTATCAGTGTTTTATTTAAGTTATAAATTAATTACCAATTGAATGCATGCATAGAAAAATAAAACACGAAAAATGCCACAAAATAGCACCAGTAGTACGAAACGGCATCGAAGTAACACTACTCAAGCGATTGGGTTTGCATCAAATGGCAGTGTTTGTAATTACCAAAATGAACCAGCAATTAATGTCTTTAATGAACAAACATCTCAGTCATACTTACAGCCAATCAATTCAGTAGCAAATTATGGATTTGAGACACAGCAGAGGTCAACGTGCAATGTTGTAAATAACCATGGGCAACTAATAAGTTATTCAGCCGCACAACAAACTATCGCCGGCTATACAGAATCGGCTTATCGTAATCAAGATCAACTCAATTCACTTGCAAACAATAGGGACAATATTAATGTTAATTCAATGGGTAATCAAAACGACAGCTACTGTACGGTAAGAACTGTCAACCAATCAAACATAGCGCACATATTGGGGGCACAGATTGTGGCTCCTGTAAGCCAGACTTCAATGTCAACTGCCGGACCCTCGGCTAAAGTTCTTACCTTTGATAGTACTTTAAGTCCTTTGGTTTACGAAAATAATTTTGAAACTGATTTCACTGGCTTTGACATTGAGAACCGACTACAAGAGGAAGGGCAGGGAATAGAGAATATAACTGCAAATCAACAAATACCCGGACAATCATCACAACCATCGACATCGACGACAGTCGAGTCATATGAAAGGCCACTTGTATTACAATCTAATGCCAGAAATAACACCCAAATTCATCAAAGAGGAGATTTAGACGATAATGCTATCGATGATATAATTCATACAATTGTTAATAAAATGAATCATGGACTTATTGCGCCTAATGGCGACGATCCATTATTAGGCAAATTGAAAGTAATTAATTTTGTATTCAAAAACCTAAAACATGTCACATTTAATTAACAACTATTTAAATAATAATTAGAAAATTCTTGAGGTTGAAAATTTGGAAAGACAAATGATTACAAAGATTAGGGACGAGTTGAAGCAGCAAGGTAGATTAGAACAATTCTTGAATAATACTGGACTGCACCGGGAGGCTGTTATGATAGCCAATATGTTTCTAATGGACGACCCCTGGAAATATGGAACGGCTATTGAATTAAAAGTAGTAAACGCATCGATACTGAGATCAGGAAATTCGCGATACTTTAAAATGGATTCCCGGCCCAGAGGTCGGGCCATAGTGTTTGTGACCACTGATGGTCTGAAGGATGAGGTGCACCGATGGAAGTCTATCTTTAAACAGTTAGACTTCAAATGCGATACATATCGGGACGTCACCTGTTCTCAGATAAGAACTGTAATGATGGGTATGTCTGGTCAGCGGTTTAATGCCGACGCACTCATTGTGATGGTTACCGGTGGCGGGAATGGCGGCAAGATTTATGGGTTTGGCGAGGGATCTGACAATGAGATGTCGTTTACGGAAATTGTGGACTCGTTTTCCGATATGAATTGTGTGTCTCTGAGAAATAAACCGAAAATATTTGTTTTCAACACTTTCTCTATTGGTTTGTATTTATAACTAAAATTTATTTAAAATATTTCGCATTACAACTATGTTACTGGATTACTATATTCTGTATATTAATAGGAAATCCCACCCAGCTAATAGAAAGTGACCAACAGATTGAAAATATAAACATGAATTTCTATACCCGCACATATATCATCTATGCACATTCTAAATGTTTGTATAAGTGATAGTACA